GTTCTTTCCAAGACGATAAAATGATACTGGAGGTGCTCCAATTTCCAGATAGTTCAAAATTTTTGACATACACGACTGGTCCCAGTACCAAGCCTCTCTTTCTGATCTACCATATTCGGGAATACCAGTTACAATAATTGACCGTTTTCTCTCCTTTTCTTTAGCCGACACAACAGATCCACCTGGAGAAGAAGTATTCTCACCTCCGTTTACATTTAAACCGGTCATCCCACTCTTCTTCATATCCTCAATTTTCGCATTAAGTTCCGAAATTTGATTCTCCAGATGATTCATCTTCTCCGTATGTTTCTCCAATTCCTTATCAATAGTCCCAAATTTCTTATGAGAACAAGGCAATAGAGATCGCTTTTTGAAAGACTTCTTGGACCTTCCCATGAGATAGGGCTGCCACTAATCTCATTACCAACTCATCATCATCTTCTCGCTTCAGTTTGAGCTTCGTTCCAATAGGTTCGGCCTCACAAGACTTTGAGCGACGTTTCGACATTTCCCGTGAAAAAACTAGAGAATGAAAAACTAGGGAATGAAACGAATTTTTAAGTGGTAGATTAGGTTTAGAAAGCGTTTTTCTAATTTCAAATTTTAAATTTTAAATTGTTCGAATTATCCGAAAGAATGAGAAAAAATCAGGAGCAAGGAATAAAGAATAAACATTAAAAAACCCGGAAGAAGGAATAAGGAACAAGGAATAGAAAAAACGCCCGGAATAAGGAAGAAGGAATAAGGAATAAGGAATTCCGCTCATATCTGCTCCCGATGCAAGCATGAGATACCAATCATCACGTTTCTCCGACTCGCAAAAGATGAGGTTTTCGTAGGAAGAAGATACGAAGAAACTTTTCAAGAAGCTGAAACAACTCAAACAAATGGAAGCACAGCCGGCCCTTTTTTCCGACATGATTTCAGCTATTAAACTTTATTTGAGAGAAACATGATGAGACTCCATATAGATAAAAGAAGAGAGCGAAGCTGCTCTTTAACAGGACGAAGGAGTTAAATACTGATTATTCTCATCAGTAACCTTAATAGGTTAGTAAGAAAGTAAAGCGTGTTTGGTGCGACCTATTTCAAACTACAGCTGATGTAGTTCTTCAAGAAAAGCATCGAAACGTTGATCACGCGTTGGCAAAAAATGGTCGTAAATGATGTTGAAAGCTCTTTTATTAACACCCTCTTGTTCCAGTTTTGCATGAAGTTAGAGTGAATCAAAAACGCGCATTCCTTTTTCACCAATCTTGGAAAGTTATTATATGAATGAGAGTCCCGTTATCTTGAAAATTTAGCAGAATGTAGCACGGCAAGAATATTTGCAAGACTGAATCACAGTTGTTGGATAGAAACTGGCGATATAGCACTTCGGAGCCCAAATGTTTTTTTCCGAGTTTTTAGGAGATTTTTCTTATCTGAAATATCTAAAATTCCGTGCTTTGAAATCGAAACTACAGTACATCATAATGATAGCATTACCCCGTGTTGTGAGGTTTTCAGAAAAACTAGAAAACTTAGAGCGAAACGGCTAATCCCATTTGATTCGGCATCCCTAAAAACCTATACATCAGAAAAACCAAGTCATAGATTATATTATGAGTACAGTAAACAACAGTCTCTCTGCGCGCCGCGTCATAATGATACCAACACCATGAGAAATAAAAAATCTCTTTCAGATTTTTAGAGAACGAAATTTTAGGAGATTTTTCTTATCTGAAATTTTTAGGGGTTTTAGAATAAACTTTGAATAATTTCGCTTCTAGGTAATCTTTAAAGCTGAAATTGATACTCAAATTGCAGTAGACTGAGTTGTCTATTGATTGCTTTTATGCTACTCTAAGCCGTTTTTGGTAATTTAAGCAAAACCGAAACTTCTCAAGTTGCCATTGAAATTCAGTGGTTCTGATTTTTGTTTAAAAACTTGACTTTACTGGTGAAAACTTGACTTTACTGGTGGTTTTCTGCATAGTTTATTAGGGTGCTGCTTTGAATATCACGCAGTACGCAAAAAGACTTTTGGTTACTGCAGTCCTAATACACTTAATGAGTACTTGATTTTGCTGAAATAGGTATTTAGAGATGTTGAATCGAATGGCTTCAGCTATTTTTTTCTAAGTTTTTCAGTTCTTCTGAAAACCTCGAAAAACGGTGTGGTGCTGTCATTATGACGCGAATTGTATTATTGATATTATATTTGGTCAGATTTTACTCTCACTTCAGTAAACAATATAGAGAATGAGAACCATTCAAAACATGAACTGAACAGAAACAAGTTGTCTGGAAATCAGGGCTGTCGAAACGACGGCCGGCCGAGGCCGCGTACCCGATGTCCGAGAGCCGGAAGGCCGCGGCTTTTATTTTTTAAATTGACAATGCGGATGTAAAAACTGCCTCGGCCGGCAAGCCGTGCGTGGCCGAGGAAAAATTCATTCAAAATGAAAATACTTACCAGAGTAAGGAAAATCGGTGAAAGATAATGATTTTTTTGAAACGGAATAACTAACACTCGAAATGGAGTAACTGATTATTTTTGTGACTCGAGGGAGCTCTAGAGAGACAGTTGAATAGAAGTTGTAATTTGTAAATTTTGAATTTTTCCACATTTTTTCATTCTTGTTTCATCATTCATATTCTCGAAATTAATTGCCAAAAAAATCTGCTCAAGTTCAGAAAGAAAAATTAACATTTTGGTTGAAAACCCATAGTTCTGTCTTAATTGGGAGAAAATTTTTGAGTGGACTAATCGAATATTGTATTATCGGATACTGAGTTAATCATAATTGTGGTGTTTTATAATGTGAACTCACTGAGCGCACACCAAAATAAATTTAAAAAAATACAGTGCGGTCAATATCTTTAAGATCTCCATTGATTTTGTCCGCGCAGAGAAAACTAGGAGAGATTTCAAAAAACGGTTAACGCCATTCGATTCACAACCCCAGGAAACACAATGTCATAATTTTAGAACTATCCCTGTCCATGTACCATGCAAAAAACCCATACGCAAGCGGTCAATATCTTTTTTTATTTCACGATTTTTGCTATTTTTGAGAGAATTTTCGGTTTTACGGTACGTAACAAAGTTCCACTGGATGGAATTCAATCAAATCATACTTCTTTTTTTGACTCACCACCTTTTCTCTGTGGTTTCAATATTAAATCATACTTGATGAAATATTCATACTTGATGAAATTTGGCTGTATTCTTTTCAACATCCGCCCCAAAACACTTCAAATGGGTCAGCTCGGATTGCTCAGTTTCGAATTCCACGTCAGAAGATTCTTCAACGCTTTTCTTTCCAATTTCATCTGTTCACAGCGATTATGATAAACGTACGGTCAATATGTTTAAGACACAACTTGCTATATATCAAAAAACTGTAAACGACTGTAGATATCAAAAAACTGTAAACGTCATTCGATTCATAATAAAAAATAACCTCTAGAGACAAAGTTTTATGAATTCAGCACTATCCCTGTCCGTGTACCATCTAATAACCCAAATGCAAGCGGTCAATGTCTTTAAGACCCCCGGATTTTCCGATTTTCCAGTGATAATTTTCAAAAATATTTCCTCGGAATTGTCAAATATCCACCTAAAAGCATTTTCGTTGATTTCAAATCAAATAAGATTGGTTTCTGACAGTTTTCAGATAAAAATTGACATCTGAAAAATTTATTTCACAATTTTTGCTATTTTTGAAAGACTTTTCAGTTTTATGGTACGTAACCAAGATCCACTGGATGAAATTCTATCAAATTATACTTTGATTGAAAGTTCTTAATATCTTTAAGACCTCCATTGATTTTGTCCGCGTAGAGAAAACTAGGAGAGATTTCAAAAAACAGTTAACGCCATTCGATTCACAACCCCAGGAAACACAATGTCATAATTTTAGAACTATCCCTTCTTTTTTTGACTCACCACCTTTTCTCTGTGGTTTCAATATTAACTCATACTTGATGAGATATTCTTACTTGATGAAATTTGGCTGTATTCTTTTCAACATCCGCCCCAAAACACTTCAAATGGGTCAGCTCGGATTTTAAGGATCCGTATTTATGTGCGTTCTGCCTGAACAGCTTTCAAATTACTAGGACATTGAAAAGGGGATAAGAACTTTTAAATAAAGTATAATTTGATAGAATTTCATCCAGTGGATCTTGGTTACGTACCATAAAACTGAAAAGTCTCTCAAAAATAGCAAAAATCGTGAAATGAATTTTCAGATGTCAATTTTTATCTGAAAACTGTCAGAAACCAATCTTATTTGATTTGAAATCAACGAAAACGCTTTTAGGTGGATATTTGACAATTCCGAGAAAATATTTTTGAAAATTATCACTGGAAAATCGGAAAATCCGGGGGTCTTAAAGACATTGACCGCTTGCATTTGGGTTATTAGATGGTACACGGACAGGGATAGTGCTGAATTCATGAAACTTTGTCTCTAGAGGTTATTTTTTATTATGAATCGAATGACGTTTACAGTTTTTTTGATATCGCTCCTAGTTTTTTATGCGCACCCAAAAACAAGTAGTGTCTTAAACATATTGACCGCACTGTACGTTTATCATAATTGCTGTGAACAGATGAAATTGGAAAGAAAAGCGTTGAAAAATCTTCTGACGTGGAATTCGAGACTGAGCAAGTGTCCATTGCTCTGACATGGCTTTTCTGAAAACATTTCAGGCTTAAATTGAAACTATATAAAACTCACTTAATGATTTGATATCTGGAAATATCAATATCAACTCCATTGCACCATCTCGGTTAGATTTTTGAGACCAACGGTGACGGTTTGTGAGGATAAGCTTCATATACGTTTTCTAACTTGTGACCTAGGATAATCACAACTGCTGAAAATGTTGTGTCATTCAACTTCATATAAAATTTCATATATTTATTTCTGAATTTTTTAGCTAAATGGTTAATGATCAGTTAGCCCTAACATAAGACAGTTTGCAAGTGTGCATTGACATATCTGAAAAGAGATGAATTTCAGTCTTCGATTCAAATTGTGTAAAACTCACTGAATGAATCCGAATTCAGTCCCAGTCGCTCCGAATCAAAATTTCGGTGGTATTTTTGCTGAGGTCGATTTTGACCTCTTTTCGAAAGTACCTTCAGAAATGTTTTTGCAGTTTACGACAGAAAAATATGAACTCACTGTGTCGTTGTAGAAAATTGTCCAAACGACAATCTCACGATTTGCAACTCGTCGGTGATTTCGAGGCCGCAATCGTGTTTAATGAACAACTGGAATTCAAAATCCCACTAAAAAATAGTCATCTTATGAAGCTCTTTTCAGTCGCTTACATCACCAATCCCGCCCCAAGGCTGGTAATTTTTTAAGCGGAATTTCTTATAGTTGTTCGTGAGTTCGCAAGCGGAAAAACTGTTAGCTACAGTATTGAATGTGCTGAAAAAAGATAGAATGATTCGACTAATGTTATAACTTACGCATCTAATATGTGGATGGTATAGCACCAGGGAGGGGCAGCTTGACATTCGATGGTGCCGATGATATCGAGGCGTGTTGGAACCATAGCTGCGAGCATCCCGAAGATGGAGAGCACAAGAGAAAGACGCATTCTAAACAAGATATAACAGAGTGAAAAATTGTGAATGGCGCTGAATGTAAGGTAGAAGGAGTCTAGAGAAAAATAGCTGTAATATAGACCCCAATTAATTTTTGAGAATTCAAAAAAAACAGAGATATAAAATACGTTTCTCTTCCTATAATATATTAGCAACAAATCGAAAATTGTGGCACATTGAACCGAAACATAGTACAAATCTAATGAGAAACAAGGCGCAGGATAGAAAGCTCCCAATGAAAACATGAGATGCCGACCCAACCATCACGTTATTTCGACTCGTAAAATATGATTTTTTCTCTGAACATCCACAACATCTGCCCACAAAACACTTTGAATTTTTTTAGGTTTTCGTAGGAAGAGGATGTGACGGAACTTGTGATCACATGTGTAATACATCAGAAAAAAGTTCAAGAAGCTCAAAGAGCCGAGGAAAGAGAGAAGAAAAATGAAAACCTTGGGGACCAATAATAATTTTTATCTTATTTATAAGACTCTGCGATGCGTTGCAAACGGGGGAGCTGGAAAGAAAGTTTATATTATTTGGCAAAGAACTTTAATATTTGGTAATTTCAGAAGTTTTCCCTATAAATGAGAATAGAAGTAAAATGTGGTACAGCAAGAACTGTTGCGATATGCCAGCATTTTGCTACATTTCCCTTATGGAAACAAGGTTGAATTACAGTCAACACCAATGTTCCCGTAATGACTTTCAGGTTTTCAGCTTTTCCAACGTTTTTTCCCCAGAAACATGGCAAATTCTGATTGTTTTTTACGCTTTCGTAGGAAGTGGATACAAAGGAACTGATTCTTTCTTGTCAAAATACATTAGCAAAATCTTAAGAAACTAGAACATCAGAGAAAGAATGGATCAGAACCTTGGGGACCAACAATCTTCTATCTAACATGTAAGATCATACGATAGTGGCAAACGGGCGTGTTGTGAAGCAAGTAATTAATATTAGGGAAAGAATTACATCATGGAACACTCTCTGTTTTTTAAATTCGCTTTCATATCGTATAAATCGTATAAGAGTCAAATTTAAGGGTAGATAAATCCAGACTAAAAACTAGGAAACGCGCATAACCGGTTTTAAGTCCTGAAAAACGAGATGAAATGAGAGTTTCAGAATATCAACAGCTATTCTGACATTTTTGGAAATTGTAGCAGTTGAAAACCTGCCAACTAAAAAAATCATTAGACCTTTCATTTAGGACTTATTAAAACTAACTGCAGGCAGATTAGGAGAACGGATTTTCTGGGGGAATCGTCGCAAAAAAAGTTTATATGGTATTTTCTTGTCATGAACCATGTTTTAGGTATTTTCTTGTCATGAACCATGTTTATCGATTTTTGACAATTTTGAAAGGTGAACCAATATTTGGAGCACTGTAGATAAGAGAAGGGAGCGAAAGTGTTTTTTACCAGGACATAGAAAGAGTTAAAACCCGATTGTTCTTATCGATAACGTTACTTATGTGCTTGATTGACATGTTCATAAATGAAGAATTTGACATCTCACGTCAGAAAGTACTTCTTTTAATAACATTTTTTCGAGAGGAGTATGATGAGACTCAATATAGATAAAAGAAGAGAGCGAAACTTTATCAAGATCAGTGAAAGTTGAATACCGATTATTCCTAGCAGTAAAATTACTTGGGTTTAAGATTTACATATTTATAAGTGAATAATTTTATAATTAAAAAAATGCCATCAGGTTCCCCGAGAATCCCGTTATCTTGAAAATGGAGCAGAATGTGGTACGGTAAGAACTGTTGGGATTTGTCTACAATTTGCAAAATTTATCATATTGGAAGCAAGGTTAAATCACATTCAAGGTTTCTAAAGGAATGTAGAAATCCCTCAAATTTTCTTTCAAAATTTCTGATTTTTCTATAACGACTTTCAGGTTTTCAAATGTTCTGTTATCGTTGGGCCAGAAAGATGACAAACTTCTATCTTGTGGTAAACCGAATGAATTATAAAAAGTTTTGAATTTTTCTGATTGTGAATATATATCAAGTGGACCTGAAATATTTTCGGATTCCAGCAAGTTTGATGAGTTTGAGGTTTGAAATTTTGTATTCGTTTCACTTATCGAACCAAACTGTTCATTTTTAATCAGCGTTTTGGTGAGGGATGATAGCTTCTAGAATCTCCAAATGCCTATGATGAATTGGATAGAAACTGGGCATATATTTTCCTATTATGAGTTGGATAGAAACTGGGCATATTCCACTTCAGAGCCGAAATATTTTTTTCGAAGTTTCTGGGAGATCTTTCTCATTTGATAGAAACGGAGGATATTACACTTCGGAGCTTAGGTTTTTTTTTCAAGTTTTTAGGGGACCCTTCTCACTTGAAATATCTAAAATTCAAAATGTTGACCTCGAAACTATTTTTGATATTATATTGGGCCAGTTTTATGCTCACATCATTAAACGATATGGAGAATGGAGATCATTCAAAACAAGAATTGGAAAGAAACATTTCGACTGGAAATGACCATGTCAATTGGGAAGAACCATGTCAATTGGGATAAATTTTTGAGTGTACTCATCGAATACGGTGTCAACGGATACTGTGTTAAACATAGCTCTGGTGTTTTATAATGTGAATTGAGCGCACACAAAAATAATTTTAAAAAATACGTCCACTGTAATCGCTGTGAACAGATAATTGCATAGGAAAGCTTTGAAGAATTCGAAACTGTGCAACTGTGCATTACTCTGACCATTCTGAAAACATTGATGTTTCAGTTTTAAATTCAAACTATATACAACTCACTGAATGATTCGGAATTTGGAGATGTATCGAAATATTCACTATCTACTCAATTGCACCATCTCGGTTAGATTTTTGAGCCCAACGGCGACGGTTTGTGAGCATTTTTTTTCGTTTTCTAACTTGCGACATAAAACAACCAGAACTGCTGGAAATGTTCTATCAATATGAAATTTAATATAAAATTTGATTCATTTATTTCTTAACTTTCGATCTGAATTGATAATGATCAGTTAATCTTAACATTAGACAGTTTGCGAGTGTGCGTTGGCATATCTGAAAAAGTTTCAAGATTTGATTCAAATTGTGGGAAACTCACTGAATAAATTCGAATTTGGTATAAGTCACTCCAAAATGTCGACTCCCAAATTACGATAATTTTTGTGGTGTTCTTGCTGAAGTCGATTTCAACTTTTTTGTCAAAGTATCTTTAAAATTTTTTTCGCAGTTTACAACAGAAAAAAATATGAACTCACGGTTTCGGTCTCATTGATTGTTTCTCTTCGGTGATTTCGAGGCCGCATACGTGCTTTATTAATAATTCGAGTTCAAAATGCCACTTAAAAATAACTATATTATGAAATCCTTTTTAGTCACTTACATCGAATGGTCCGTCCCAAGGCTGCCAACTTTCAATGCGGAATTTCTGATTGGGGTTCGTGAGTTCGCAAGCCGAGACACTAGCAATTACATCATTGAAAGCGCTGGAAAAATATAATGATTCGACTGATGCAATAACTCACGAAACTAACTCCAGCAATTGGATTGTGTAGCACCACGGAGGGCCATTCTGACAGGAAACGGTGCCTCTTATGAAAAAGCGTGATGGAACCACAGGTGCGATTATCCCGGCGATGAAGATGAAGAGCACAACAGACAGGTGCATTCTAAACGAGATAAGACAGTGTGAAAAATTTTGAATGGCGCTGAATGTAAGGTAGAAGGAATCTAGATAAAAACAGCTGTGATTTAGATAAAATAATTGTTTGAGAATTCAAAAAAAAACACACAGATATGAAATACATCTGTGCTCCTTTTCCTATATTATATTAGCAACAATTCAAAAATTGTGGTATCGGATGCTCTCTTTTTGTAGCACAAAATCAAATGTATATTCATGAAATCAAGTTTACATTCATTTTGGAGCTCTAAACATAAATAACTCGAATTTTCAGTTGATTTTGATTTTCAGATTTACAGATTTCTGAGGCTTCCGTCTCTCGCCTAAAACTCCAGATATCCTTCACTCGCAGAAACTTCATTTAGTTCTCATTATGACACAACACGATCATAATGATACAACCGATCCTAAGTTGTATCAAATTCTGGATGCACAGGGCGTTGTGGTTCCCTTGTAAGTTTCCGAATCATTTTTACGTTTTTTGTTTCAAAATCTTTTGAAAAATGAAATAAGTTTCGTATCCTATCATTAAACTACAAACTACGCTGTAAAGATCTTCATGAAACATCACATCTCATTTGGAAGTTTCGAAAGCGGTCCCCACCTATTAATTAAAAAATAGTAATGTGTATATAATGTCTGGTTTATGTTTTTCATTTCTTTTTTCATTTCACTAAGTTGGATTCTAGGTGTTTAAACAAAACTTGCAAACAGATCATTTTTTCGAATTCGAAAAATCTACCCCTTCTTGTTCCTCTTCTATCCGCTGTGCCGGCACCAATTGGAACTGTTATTAATCCTTGGACTGATAATGCCTCATCTTCACCAGCTATAGAGCCCCATAATTATAGTCTTGGTGTTCTAGAACTTTTCAGTCTTATCAACTTAACGGTTCAATTAATTTGTATAATCTATATACTCTGGGAGAAGTTGCTGAAAAATGTGAGTTGGTTGTATTGGAACAGGTTTGAAAATGAAGCTTCAGGGGCCATTCTTTATTATGCTGCTCATTCAATCTGTTGCAATTTTGTTCCGCGTAGTTTTCTGGATTATTTCTTTCTATCTAGCTGTATTTTTCCATGACATCACTCCTAAGGTTTCATGGCTAGAGCCTTTAATGAAATTATGTCTTTATGTGGATTACTGTAGTAATCTATTTTCGGTTACTTTCAATTTCGTGCTCTCTTTGAATCGTTTTTTAACTTTTATGTCCAAAAATTGGACCTCAATTCTTTATGATGGGTTCAATCTTTTTTTCACTGTCATTTTTGCAGTCATTTTATCTGTAGGTGGAGCTGTGGGAATGATAATACCATCGAAGGTGGAAAGAAAATTTATAATTGAATTTGGATTCTTGGATATCGCTCCAGAAATTGGATTTATGACTGTGAGAAATTCATTTTCAAAACAATCAAGATCAGTGTTCTCCTTTTTTTTCCAGATCATCAACCGATTTTTCAATTCATTTCTGATTGGTTCTATCACCTGTTACATATTTTTATACCGTTTTTTGCGAAAACAAAACAAATTAGTTCTTCGAGCGTCCAGAGCTTTGAGACAAGGAGAGAATCGGATTTTCGCTCTCTTACTGATCACCACATTTTTGTCCTTGGTTTTTTTCAATTAACTTTAAACGAATTTTTTAAAAATATTTCCAGGCTCTATTTGCCGTTTTTGAAATTATCACCATCAAAAATTGGAATGCTGGAAACGGATATCTTCTGGGAACGTGGCTAAAAATTTTGTCAGTTGCAAATTATTTACCAGAAATTTCGTTACCAATATTTTTTATTGTAGACAATTTGGATTTTACGCAGAAATGTCGCAGATACTTAGGAACACCAACTAATGTGCAGAGAATGTCAACTTGAATTTTTTTGAATAAAATTTATTGGTTTTTTTTCGAACATTTTATTTTCGATGATGTAAACTGATCAACAAAATCATTGTATTGTTCTTCTGAATTTCACGCGCTTTCAAAGTTTCCATGTTTCCAAAAACAGATACCTTACAAGTCTATTTCTCAATCCTCGGCTAATTTCATAGATTTTTTGGAAAATCAATAAAAATTATTTTTTTTAAAACTATCAATATTGTCGAAAATCGAGAAAACTAGGTTATAAGAATTATTTTCGAAAAACCTATAAATTTCAAAGACACATGGTTTTTCACTTCTCAAGGAAATGATTTTGCAGGGGACCGACAACGTATTGTAATTTCTTGTTTACGAAAGCACCATTTTCCGGTTATTATTTCTGAAAAAAACTGATTGAATGACGTTTTCTTACGCAACAGTAAAACGTAGCATATAATTGTAATTCGGATATGAAAAATACTAGCATTAAATGTAGAAACTAAACGAAAACAGGACCTTTATCATAAAAGAGCGAAAATTTGTGAAAGAAAAAGTAACGAAAACATCAATTATAACATTGTCAACATTCAAAATGCTCCTTTATAAAATGCGCTATTTTTGAAGCACAAAACGAATTTTAGGAAAAATCAATATCGAAAACACATCGTCATCTTTATATTCATTTTGAAGCTCTAAACATGAAGAGCTCAAGTTATTAGTTGATTTAGATTTTCAGGTTTTTGATGCTTTTTTTTTATAGGATTCCCGTCTTTTGCCGCAAACTCCAAGGTTTTGAGGAGGAGTTTGTTTTCGGAATATTTTTCGAATCCAGCTTATGAACAAGCAACTTAAGGTCGAATAGAAAAAAAAAGAGTCAACATGTTTATTCCGCCGAATAAAACTTAAACGAAAAGTCTTTTGTATTTGGAGTTTTGATAGCTAAATTAAGAAAAACACGGACCAGAGAGAAAATTGAATGCCAATGAATTTGGGAAACAGCTGGGCCTTATATAGAGGTTTTCTAGGGGGGGCGTGGCTTAGTGGTACTGGGTGTTGGAGTGGTACTGCTGATGGAGATTAGTAGTACTTGTGAGGGAGATAACCTTAATTACGCTATAAACAGGCTTATCAAAATCAAAATAGAACAATGGACAAGATAACAAAATTACATTTTTGTGCCTTTTAATCAGTCTATTGTACTCCAAAGGGTCATTAAAACCCTAGCCTCCACCTATACTTCAATTAATCTACGCAATCTCCATCTTTTCAGCTTATTAGCACCTGAGCATGACCACCGACACTGCTTTTATATGTGTGATAAAGTAATCAGATAGCGATGGCGACCGCACATCTGGTCAACTCCACACATTCTTTTCCCGTTCTAATCTACAGGAGCTCTCACTTCCTGATTCAAAGAAAAAACAATAAATCGGACAAAAATAAACCCATATCTTCATTGCCGTAAAAATGACACACTTTTTGAAATCTGACTATATAGGAACACCAAAGTTAAATTTTTCAGACTAGGGCCGACAAGTATCATCTAACTGGTTGAGTACATGTATTGTTTTAAAAGGAAAGACACGAGAATTGCTAATCTAAGTATGGAATGATCATGAAGTAGCAGGATAGAAAGACAATGGTAGAAAATGAATGAAATAAAAGTTCAATGTGCAGAATAGTGATTGTGACGTGACTATTTGTACTGATGATGATTCCGGAAAAGGGGATCAATAGATATACACATTTTGTACAATTAGAAGACTCGAATTGTGTTTCTCATCACAAACATCAGATCGTCGTCAATCACGTTGATTGCGGTGAATGAGAAGAAAATGGCGAATGCTGAGCTGAGATGCCAAATGTCGTGGTTGTCATAAAAGTTGAGGAAAATGCAGGGTTTGTTGAGCTCTCGAGAGATTGCAGGCATTTTCTGAAAGAAAAATGAAATAAAAAACTTGACTATTTGTCAATTCAATAGTTGCAAAATCTAGGACCGGGCCGATGAGATGCCGGCCTGGCACGGCCCGTAAAAGTCCGGTCCGGCCTTTTGCAACTATAGTCATTTCTAGCTTACACTCCAATCCGAAACCCTTTGGTTGAACAGGATTCCAGCACATGTCCATGAAATAACTGCTGCAATCAGTAATGCCACTGCTCGCTTTGGAATCTTTTCTCGGTATATCATCTGCAAAAATTTGTATTTTACGTTTGGTTGCTGGGCCCAAAAGACAATTTTTTCGGAAAATTTGGTCGGACAACCCCGAAAAACTGATTTTCGGTTTTCAGCTGAAATTCCAGTTTTAAAGAAAGAATTTGGAGTAGAAATGTATTTTCAAAGTGTCTTCAGTTTTTGAGAATTAATTGAAGATTCTCGGAACATTTTTGAATTTCTCAAGTTAATCCAATATAATTTGTTTAATCATTTTAGTTGAAATTGCCCAACCGCCAGAAAAAAAATTCAACGAGAATTTCCCCATTTAAAAATTTCCCGTTTCCAGAGCTTTAGAACATGTTCTGTCTAAATTTCTCTCCGAAAAAATCTTGAAAAATCTTGTGATCGACAGAAAAATAATTATTTTTTATTCCTAGAAAACACTCACCTTCATTAAAATATAGTAGATGATGTAAATGAACAGGTTTCCAATGAAAGGAATGAGCAAAAACGACAGGAAGTCCTTCGGATGAGCATCAAGACCGTAAACCACACTGAAAACAAAAATTGAGCATAACAATGCAATGTATGAACTTACACTGCAGTATTAGCCATGTTCAGTAGGAGAATCACAAAGAAGCGTGCTTTGTAAGCTGGAACAATACACGATAAATGTCTTGATGTCGCCCAGGACATTCGAATCGAATTGCGGAGCTCTCGAATGTTCAGAGTCCAAATTCCTTTGAAATAGAACTCCAAACTGATCAGCATCATACTTCCAATGTATATTATAGAAAACATTATCCAGAAGATCATGTTGTGGACGTACTGAACATTGAATTCTGTTCACAAATGTATAATGTCAAATATACTCACCACTCCAGCAATCGCAGCCATTAAGAAAATACCAAGAAATCCGAATGCGTGATAGGCACTGACAACCATATCAGGGTGGCGCAGTGACCAGATTTTCAGTTTTCCCAACATTCCTATGACATACATTAAAGCGGTATCTGTAAATTGATAAAATTAACAAACTGATAATATTAACATGTTGCAATGAACTCACCAAACTGATAATTGATATTGTTCGGACACACGTGATAGGTGGCGGATGAGATCCCTTCCATGATCACTGCAAGACCGATAGCAGTCATCAGTCCACTGTGTTGGGGGAGACCATATCTCTACAAAAATAGGTGGTTTGGTGCTCAGTAATTTGTTTTGCTGATGTATTTTGATCTCATTTGGGTTCTCAGTGATTGAAATGTGTGTTGGCACGGCATCTAAACTAATTTTCCACAATTCACGTTTCCCCCAGCACAAATTACAATCGAGCAGAGTTGTCAACTCTTGTTGGATTCATTATGTACCGAAAGCCGTTCTTTTCGCAATTTTTATCACTTCTTGTCATTTTTTTCATTTTTTCTCTGTAGAAAACTTTCATACACACACACTTCAAGAGCAAAATAAACTAGTTTAGAAAAAAAGTATTCAGATTTCAAAAATCTTCAAAAAGAAATTTATTCAAAATATTCGGTGTTTCATAATTTTATTTTCTTCAATTATTGTAAAAAACTATTTTTGGGTTTTCAAGTTATTACCCGCTAGAAACTTCTTGGTCAAAAAAGAAATCGCGATTTATTGAAAATTCGAAATTCTGTATCTCTTTTCTTTTTTTGTCCTAACAAATTGTTTCGACTCTCAAATTGTGTGTGTTAGCTCATAAAACATTTTGTATAGACGAAAACTGATGAAGAATTGCTAAAACTTGATTTTTTTGAAAAATTCCCTGACCCCGCACAATCTCGATTCGCTGTAAAAAAAGCTAGCAGCCCAAAGTTGTGGCCAAGAAGACCATACAATTTTAAACAAAAACTCACCTCAGCTAATGTTGGTTGCACAGCGAAAAGCCGTCTGAAACTCCTTTCGCGGCAGTAATTCATTACAATGATCAGACTTCCGAAATACACATATCCACAATTGCTGAAAAATAATCAACATTTCTGGTTAAAGAAATTTCTCACCAACCTAACAACGTTATTGAACGCTACAAAATACCAAAGTGGTCGGGCACACTGGAAATTGAAAGTGCACTCGTCCAAATCTCCAGACTGTCGTAGATTTCCAGCTTTGCTGATGATCAATTGCAGAACGGTGATGTTGTAGAAAATTCCAATGATGGCGAGAGCACTGTAAAATTCAATTTGAACATTTTTATTGAAAACCGAAAACTCACATTTTATATACATCGTATTGCATTTCTCTAGTCTCGTATGGTGTCATGGAAAGGTCAGCGACAGTAAGAGTAGTCTGAAAATAATATGAATTACTAAAAATGGAACAGAACAACATACTTTTGCTCTCACAACCATCATATCCTTGCAATCCGTAAGAATATCGTAGTCTCTCAAATCATCATCTTCAGACATCCGCTTGAACTCATAAAAATCTCTGAGTCTCTCGTCTTGGGCATCTGAAAAAAGCCACTTTTGCTAATCAGAATTTTGAGAAGACACTCACTATCTTCCAAATGAGTATATGCTCTGGACAAAAACCTCCGTTCCCATATTCCATCAAAGTAGTGGTAGACGAATACCACAAGGGTCACCAGCAGAAGGATACAAGCCCAGAAGACGATTGGGATGATGTAGTCAAAAACTGAAAACATTGGTAAGTGAAGATTCACAGAAGAACAAACTGAATAGAGATATTTTGAAAAACCCGCTTCAGCTCACTCCGGGTCAGATAGTGCAGAATAGAAGAGAAAAAACCGATACCTGTCCACGGGCCGGATGATAACTCGATTCAAAATTTAAATCGTGAGCAACATAGCGTACCAGATGATTGAGTTTGGGAAGCTATAGAACCTTCAATGAGAATGAACTGGTTTCAAAAGGGGTATTATGGTCCGGGCCGGCTATTAAATATTGGCCAACCCCCGGTTACGGACACAAATGCTGGTCGTTTCTTATCGGAAGTTGTAGAGCTCGTCGAGTTTGCTTATATGCTGTTCTGCCCACAATTTCAATTTTGAAGAGCGTCAGCCAACCCGTGTCAGCGCGGAATCAACTTGCCGACAAATATCGAAATACTCACTTTTCATGGAAGACTCGATAGTGACATTGAAGGATTTCAAGCGAAGTGGGAACTTTGTTGGTCCTGAAACAATAACAACATTATGAATTGTGTATATTTCGCAATACTTACTGTTCGGCTTAATACTCAGAATCTCCGAGCACAAATCATCGTTGGTATTGACCACAAAAATCACGTAAAAACTTGACATTCGGGACTTTTCAACCGGAATTGTCGCCGAGGTAGTCATCGTCTGGTGCAGCCCCATGGAGTTGACGTTGTCAGGAAGATCAAAGACGGGGCACTGAAACATTTGATGCTTAATAGTGGTGTATAGGGGAAAAACTTTATTTACCCCGATTTTCTGTACCGACACCGTCATACAAGTTGTGGTGTTTGAGAGTACATGTACCGCCACTGAATCGACTCCATTCGGAATGTCATATCGGAGATACACGGGTTCGGAAGCACTTGCTGTCACGAGGCGCTTTGAATCGTTGCTGTAGTATAACCACATGTTTATCAGAACAATTTTCACAAAAAAACTCACTATAAATAGAAATTGTGGACCAATTCGGCTCGGAAGTTGTAGTGAACCGGCCGTGAGCTTGTAACCTCTACCGTGAAAGCCTCTCCTTCCTTGTACTCAGTGAATGGGCAGAGTGTTCGAGCAACTTGGCTGTATTCATAGTTGTCGACTATCAATGGGACCTGAAATCGTATTTTAAAAGAATTTTTCATTCTTTTCGGATTTCAAAATTATGATTGAGGGTGGAGTGCCTATGCTGATTCCAATTTGACTGAGATTTTTAGTTACAGTTCTTCAAAACACTCTTTTCCATAGGCCAGTCATCGATTTTCGCCCAATAGTGCCCCTGGGAATGTCCTACTTCACATCCTTCGTTTGTAAAATAAAAACTCACTTGAAGACTTAAAATTGCCACTTTTTCTCGGAAAACTGCTAGGAGAGGGTTGTGCTCCGTGCTCTCGTTGCAACTCATGATGATTCGGGCGACGGAATACTGAAAATTATTTTTTTAAAGGCGAAATTCCTTAAAAAACACAAAAATTCCAAATTCAAACCTGTTTCTCAACATTGAAACGGAAAATTGTCAGCGACATGTTCTTTTCTGTTTCCTTCTCGTAGAGCACATCCCATTTTGCCGGTATCACTTCTGGTTTTTGTGTGCTAATGAGCTCCGAGAAAATCAATATGAAGATTGCCTGCAAGGCTTTCATACTGTTTGTAATCTGAAAGTTTATTTACGAAACCATAGATTAAAATATGGAGAAAAATCTGAAAACAGGAATTTAGAGAAAAAACGGTCGGAATCCAATAAGAATGAGTAATTTCGAGTCTGAAAACCAATAAAAAACTAAATATTCAGTGGAGCGAAGAATATTCAGTGGAGCGCACTTGCATACCCCTTGTGTGTGCGCGCGCAAACCAGCAAGAGAGGGAAAACGGAGGATGTGAATTGGGTGACGAATACACAGCAGAGGAGATGAGATTAGGAATAAAGAGAAGGACAACTGTCAAAGAGTGGACATCCTTACTGTTTCTAGTGAGTGAGGTAAAAGAAAATAGTGGGAAACGAACTTTTCAGTCAAACGGATGGTTCGCCTATGACGAGATCTTGATACTATTTTTAAAACTAATTGTGATCTTTAAAATTTAAATAAACAGATTTCGAGTTGATTCAGACCTGACAGACCCAAAAATTTGACAAGTTATATTAGGTCTGACAGATTTTTCCTCTGGGACAACCGACAGACAAAAAAGAAAAATAGGAGAGACAAAAAGAGACACTACTTCATTTATTTGATATAAGATTGATTAAAGCATTAAGAGAAAAATGATTAATAATAAAGATGCGGCAGAAAATTGCACTATACGTAGGCTTTTGAATGGTTAACAATGGCTGAGAAATAATTTTCAGCTATAAAAAATACGAAAGTTTCCCTTTGTGGTGCTGATCTCTACTCTCTTTCTTCTTGAAGAGTAGAGGAACAGTGCGCAATCGAAAAAAAACTGGTTTTCCTGTTCCAACGTGATGAATTTACACCCTGAATCATATGTTCTGCAACATTTAATATAGTCTCAGATGACTCGTGTGATCTGGTACATGTGTTTTTAAGAAATTTTATTTTAAAAAACAGTGAAACAATATTCCAAAAAGAATTTTATTTTCTCGGAATCACATTTTCGATCATAATTGTGAGTAAAGTTGGACGATCCCGAAGCCTAAAAGCTTGGTAATTTCTCTAGCGAGCCTTCTTTTCCATTTTCCCCGTTGGCGCTCGTTTCAAGAGAAAGGTTTTTGGTAATTTGAGAATTTGCTGAAAGTTTGTAAAAAAGTACATTCGAACATGCTGAAAATGATTTGAGCCATGTACAGTACTGGTCAAAAAGAAATTCGCAAACAGTTTTTTGGCTATAACTTTCTTCAAAATAGAGCTGAAGCGTTAATATTTTCTGTAAAATGTAGCAAATATCCTGAGAAAAGCGATACAAAAACACTTTCGACGGAAAAAAAAGAACAAGATTTAGCAAAATAAATAATTCACTTTGGGAAAAATTCGGATTTTTGGAAATTTTTTTCAAAAATCTGAAAAAAAATAGAAAAACGATCTTGAATGGGAAATATACATTTTGATCATGATTAAAGAGTCTTTGGCTAACTTTCAAACATGTGATACCTCATGGAGATACAGTTCTAGTTATGGTGTAAGAATTCAAAGTGTGAACTAGAGATTTTGGTTTTTTTAGCTTTCTCTACTATCGTTTTGCAGTTCGAAGTGAACAATTTCAGTACTTTGTTATGTTTTCATCATTTTTCAGATGCGATTCTACAATAATCAATCATTTCCCACTTTAAAAGGCGTCTCTCTCCGCTCCGAACACTGATTTTATGAGTTGTGAGCAAGCTGAAACCAGCATGAGGTCAACTTTTAGTCATCCTGGTACAGTCGGTTGAGGGAATTTCGTATTATATATGTTAGATATCAATATCAGAGTTCTGTTAAATTCTATGAAAAATGATTTCGTGTTTTGAAATCTCCAATTTCCAGGATGGCATATTTTCTCGAAATCAGAACCACCAAACTTCCCTGTATCCCTACTTTTTTTTAACTTTGCCGATCATTGGTCGCTATTTTTTCTTCCTCCCCCGCCACATCACTTTTTACTCATCACTTATCACCAGACACGTCTCCCAAGCTTCTCAAATTACAGCTCAGAAAGCCTCAAAACACAGAAAGTGACCATCAAGAATTTATTTGCACACACGTGGAAGATTTTTAGATATCCGGGACCCATTATACAGAATTCAGAGACAAAAGAAAAAAGAAAATGAAGAGGTAAAACTTTACAAGCTACAGAATAAGGGCGGACGTGTATGATTTGTAGGTTTGATGACGTCGTTTTGGATGGTGACGAGTTTTGTGAAGAAGTTGTAATGAGTTTATTCCTCCTCTTCCTCCTCTCCCTCCTCTTCCTCTGAAAATAAATATTTATGGTTTTAAATTCAAGCAATTTTTGACCAACCGGCTTCTGGATCAGCAGCCTCTGGCTCTTCTGCGGTTGGCTCTGGCTCTGGGGCGGCGGCAGCTGGGGCAGCTTCCTCGACCTTGGCTTCCTTGTTCTTCTTAGACCAGTCTGGCTTGTCGTCCTTCTTCTTCTGAAAACATGGTGGATTGTTTGAGTTACTGTAGGTTTTGAGGGAGAACTTACAACATTGGTGATGGATTCCATAACATCTTTCTTGACGATCTTGAGGTTAGCACGGAAATCTTCTTTGCCTCCAGCCTTGCTGTCTGCACTCTTCTTGAATTTGTTGTCATATTTCGACACCTTCTTGAGGGAAGGCTTGACGCTGAAAAAAACAATTATTAAGTTCCTGAAAATCTACGTTTCGCTCTAAACTTACAACTTTCCGCGAAGATCGTTGACCTCAATAGTGAGGGTGTTGATCTCTGATTCGGTTTGGGAGACGACGTAGTTGATATCGTACTTCTCTTCCTCAAGCTGTGTGAGACGAGCCCAGAGGTCGTTGTAGATCTTCTCGAGTTGTCCCTTATCCTCGATGGAGTCGACATTTGGGAGTGGGATGGTTCTGTCGGCAAGAGCCTTCTGTCTTTCTTGCTCCTTGAGCAATTGCTGTCTCTTAAGGTCTTCGGCGGCCTTGACCATCAAAAGCTTCTGAAATCACAAAACCCCATCAATCACGCCGTTCGGTTAGAAAAAAACTTACACGAAGCTTCTTCTTACGCTCTGGTGTCAAGAATCCCTTCTTGGACTTCTTCTTGTTTCCGGCTTCCTCGAGACGCTTGCGCACCTCGGCCTTCTTGGCCTCGCGCTCGGCGGCTTTGCGCTGTGCGTCCTCTCCGGCTTCCTCACTCATCTGAAAATCAAAATAATTGAAGCATAGGTAAGGTGTACGGTAGTGTCAGTGATTAAAAGAAAATGGATTCAGATTTCCTGAGAAAAGCAAAAAAAAGTTTGAGAAATGAGGTAAAATGATGTGAGATCACGAGAGGACCCGTCTAATTTGAAGTATGGAGTCCCTCGACTCTGCCAACGAATGTCACAACTGGTGTGTATGAAGACAAGAGAGGAAGAATCTTGAGTTGGCAACAGCCGCACCCCACACACATACAACAACCTCCCCGCCCTCCTATTCTGAATCTTTGGCGTCTCTCGGACGGTTCCACACATATTGCGTGCTCTTTTCAACAGTCGACACCAGCCAAACGTTGTAATGATTTCTGTGCCTACCAATTGCGTTGGCCGAGATTGATAGAAGAAAAAGCAAAAGATAGAGGGAGAGATACGCGGAAAAGTGCTGGTGGTTTGAAGAGGTGGAAAAGAGGACGATGGAGAAAGCGAGATCTTCGGAACGCAACAAGATGCTATTAGAAGCCGGATGGATGGGCAGCGGGTCAAGTTATGAGCACTTCGGGGAATATGGGATAGGGAGAAGATATTTATGGTGTGAGCTTCTGTCTATTTTTTTGGTTTTGGGGAAAAGATGTGATCAGAAATCATATTCGTACCAATTTTTGCAAATTAACTTGAAAGATGTATGAGTTTCGTCTCTGATTGGGAAAATATGAGAGCAGAAATTTAAGGAAAGCAATGAACTTACCGCTTTATCCACTGTGTCACTAAGCTCTTCTACTCGGCTGCTCTTCTGTAGTTTTGACATATCTGGAAAATCTGAAACAAAGCAATTTCACTTAAACAATTTCTGTATATATGTTTGTATCAATCAAGATGAAATGGTAACAGAAGTTACAAACTCCAAATAGATTTAAATTCAAATTTATTGATTATCCATTTCACGTGGCTTTTCTCTATTCATTTTCTATATCTGATCCCTTAAAAACTTTCTGACGTTGTAAAAATAGCAAAACCATCTTATCACTTGAAATTTAAAGCTTTTGACAAGTTGACAGACAGGGAAACGTGTGAATAAATACAACAGATACTTGTCGCGGTGGTCGTCGACACCCTGAAATTCGATATCAATGAGATAAAAAGAGGTTGAAAAAAGTGTGTTGAGGTGTAGGCAGATGTTTGAGATATTGTAGTGGAGGTGACAATGATAAGTGATAAAAATGTTTTTCTAGTGTTGTTTTGAAAACTTCTGAAAGAAAATAAATTATCGTTGAAGTCGTTTGAATCGGAAATCACTTGCTTTAGAACATATCTGAAATGTTCTGAATTACTGATTATTTAAAATTTTGCATATATTACTTCTGCTAAAGTTGAAGGCGGAGTTCGACACAGTGCAGATATACACTTCAATAACTTCCGTATTTTCTTTGACAAAAGCCCACTCGAGCCTTCAACTTTGAGCTCAATTATATCGGTTTCTGGGAAAGATATCAAAAATTTGTCAACTACCGAATTTTTTATCATGTTATCAGCAGTATTTCATCAGTTGACAAGTTTTAGATATTTTTCACAGAAATTGAGATAATTGAGCTCATCCAAAAATCGAGATAATTGAGCGACGGTTTGGGTGGGCTTCTTTTTGAGGAAATACGGTAATAATGAATTTGCTTGTATCGTAACCCTATAATATTTTTTTTCGTTTTTACTTTTTTATAATCTGCTAAAAACTTTTTTCCGAAGCTTTTTTTGGAATCATGATTTTTTGAATGCACGTGAAATGTTTCCTTGATGGTCTCGAGCGGAATTAATTATAATTTTTTTTTACGTTTGCAAAATCTGTTTGTCAACTTTTCGCCAATTTTTTCGCGCTTTTATTATGGGAAAATGAGATTTCTCATAAAAACTCGTCGAAAATCAGAATATGTCAAAAATTCTGAAATTCCGGAATTTTGAAATTTGTAGTTTTCTGAATTTCTAAATGTTTCGTGAAGGCTATTCCAAAGATCTCTAACGAACCAATATTCAATATTTTTATGTTTATATATTCAAACAATGATAGTTTTAATAGTATTGTTTTCTTCCAACCAGTGTGTTTTCCCACATATCGGCCAATATCTCTTTTTTCTGGTTCTTCTTCCTTCATTCCCGTTATCACTCTTTTTCTGTCAATTTCCAAATCGTTTACACTGTCTTGCTCCTGATCTCCTTCACATCTCCTTTGATACATTGGTTATCTCGCGACAAGCCGATCGAGGGAGAGAGAGAGCAGATAGCTAAGAAAAAAGTAGATGGAAGCGCGAAGGCGGTGGTGTTGGTTGTGGGGAGATGACGCGAATGATGTTTTTCACGGAAGGGTCGAGAAAAAAGTTTTGACGGAAATGTTGCCATTGGTTTGGGATTGAGATGATTGAAATTCAAAAACCTCAAAACACCTCCCACTGTAAATTTTTAGTTTTCTAAACGTATTATTTTCAAAACTTTATTGCCAGAATGAAAAAAAAAATCAAAATCTCGGAACAATTACACAAATCCAGTCCAATTTAGCATACATTACGGTACCCAGGCAATAAATATTCGATTTTGTGTTGAACAATTGTCTATGTCAGTGTCTCAGAATGAGTGAAGAGATACGATTTTACACGTGAGATCTTTTTTCTGTCAACACGCCCAAGATAACTATTAGGTGACAGAAAGCGTACACAATAAAAGCGAATTGTCAAGCGGACAACAAAAACTGACATGATTAGTCAGGTGCCCAGGAAATAAAGAGTAACATGAGTGTGGTTTTCGTAGAATTGAGATCAAGGAGGAAAATTATAGATAAGCAATCTCTTCTTCTACATCGGTGTCGATTTCATCGTCTAGAAGAAGACCGGTGTCGCCGTTGCAGTTCGTGGTGCTGCTTCGGAACACGTTTGAGTTGGAGGAAGTGGATCTGAAATAGTTGAGTTAGATAAGGGTGTGAAGAATATGGGATATGAAAAAAACAACATTGAGAAAAAAAACAATGTGATGATTTAACACTGCAAGTACGTTTATACTCATTAGATTTTTTTCGCAAACTGGAATTCAAGTTTTGTAAATCTTTTAAAAAATGTTAAAAAATACGTTACCTGAAGAGAAATAAAGAAATATTTATACTTCAGTCACGACCACAAAAATCCAAAACAATTATTTATAAATCAATTTTACTTCTTTGATATTCAAAAAAAACGTGAGCTCAGAGTTATTTTCTAAAAAATGAAGTATATTTTACACAATTAGACTGTTCTGACACAAGTTTCTGACAACTTTTGTGGATATTGATAATCACACAATCACTATAAAACGTGTATTAACAAAGGAAGTTTGTTAAAAGTCCATTCGTTTTAGATTTTAATGGCAAAATATGTTTTTTGCCTGGACTAGAACCAAACTTAAAATATGAAGTACCAGTATGCAGAATGGGAATAATGGAAAAATGTTTTTCTTAATACTTTGTTTTATGAAAAATTCAGTCAAGTGATGTCAAATGATTTGAATGGGTATTTTTTAGCACAATTTTCATTATCAACATAAAAGTTCCATGAAAGTTTCAGGTGTTTCGGTTTTTGATCGACAAAAAAACTACCAAATCATAATCAAAATCCTAATTTAAAAAAATCATGAAAAATCTTGTCGTTTTCTGCCCAACCCGTATATGGTATATTCATATTATAAGTTTTGTGCTAGTGCAGGCATGTGACATATTTTGCCACCAAGATCTGAGAAAAACGAAGGGACACTGAGAATTTCCTCTCATGTGTCACAGGTTTTACTTATTTAAATTCCATTCATATCACCCAATTTCTTTTAATTCGATTCGCTACGTAATCTGAAAATTTCTCCTTTGTCCTTTCTCTAAAAAACAGATCTTGCTTTATATCTAACCTTGTAATTGACTTCTGAACAGTTGTGCTTGTAGAATCACTGTTTCCAGACATATCGTTCAGAAGGCAACTGCGTTCTAGACTTCCCATTGAAACATATCTGAAAACTATGACCTTGTCCTCTTTATTCTGCACAACTCTTACTTGTGATTTTCGGACAAGAAATTGGAATCCCTAGAAATGACTTGCAGGGTATTGGAGAATCGGATGTATCTAAAAATGAAAATCATATTTGCAAACGTCTCTGGATCATAACAAACCGTTGTTTGATCATACTACTGATGTCATTCGTAGTTGCCGATTTGTCCAATTTTCTTAGGACTGGTTGCACACGCAATTGCTCTCCGTTTTCCGCAGCTCGCTCATCTTCTCCATATTCTTCCCCCTCATTTACCTCGTTTTGCCCTTTTACAGACGACAATGATTTGTTACTGGCATATTGCAACGCCTGGAAAATTGAATTTTTCTAACAATTTTTTGTTCTTTTTTTTTGGCGGTACCGAGACGAGTTGATTGATGAACGTGGACCTTTCTTTGGCGCCCATTTTGTTCGGCATTTCAACCGGTGGCGTCACGTATATATCCGATTTTGGAAGTGAGCATTGGTCAGCTAAAAAAACTAATGTTCAGTTTTCTACAATTTGCTTTGAGGTCTTACATGGATCATCATTCTGCACTATGGCTCTAATTTCGGCCGACTCGTTTCCAGTACTACTTCCCTCCACTGAGTCCAACAATCTTTCCTCATTCTTCTGAGTAGTACCAGTTGATCTGAAATTGGATGTAGGTGGGAAAAATTGGTTTAAAAAAGAAGAAGAAAGACATTCAATCCTTAATTTCGGAGAAATTTGATTACTCACTTGTAGTGATTGTTGGAAGAGAACAAAGGCGATGTTTCACTGCAAGATGTACTTTGCGCTCTAACCATTCTGAAAAAGAAAATTAGAAATAATGAAGATTTATGAAGTTTGCTCACGTCAATTTGGTACTATGGTTGATCTTGGTAGAGCTGTTGGCGAACCCATATGGATCCTTCTTCTTGCAACTGAAAAATTTGCGGAAGTCTACGAAGGCTTCCCTGAAAAGTTTTGGTTTAGAATTGTTAGGTAAAAATGATGAGTACTTCAATTGAGATCTCATTTCCTTATTCAGCGAGAAATAAATCACTGGATTGATCATATGAGTGATTGAATAGAAGTAGCTGTTGAAGATCATTACAGCAATTGATTGGAATCTGCTGTAGTAGGAAACGTAGTAGGCAGTCATGTATGCGTAGAAGATGAGAGCGACCACAGTAATCTGAAAAATTAATGCTTCAAAATTTTTTTGAAAAATTGAAAAAACCTGTAGAAGAATTCTTTGTTGCTGTCTGTTGGACCGTCTTGCCGCCATTTCTCGAACATCGTTCGCGATGTGCTTACTACCCATTTTCATGGACATTTCCAATAACATCGTACTTGCTCTGAAAATTTGGAATCGTTGAGTAACCAGAATTAGAAGTCTGTTGAATTTGAAAAGTTGGTTTAGAAACAAACCGTTTCCAAATTAACTTATCAAATTCTCATATAGATTTACTAACTAAAAATATGAAATGTTTTACTACGGATAGCAAAAAGCGGCGTGGCTTGAAAAAAAAAACTTAGAATCGAAGAGAAAAATGATGTATTTTTTTTGAGGAATAGTGCAGTTAGATGTGGAAGATAGTGAAAATTTGCAAGCGGTGAAATATATGAAAAATATCATTCCAAGAAAAGAAAACATGCCAAATTCTATGTGGGTTTTCATGCTAAAATATTATTCTAAAAAAAAATTTGAGAGTTTCAGTGCTCTAAGATCCGTATTAGTAACATGCGGGGGTTGGTTAGAAATATAAAATGCCATCGGTACGATTATGCATTTCCATTTGAATAGTAGAACGGATTCTACGGACTAACACTATTCTAGACGGAGAAGTGAATGTTGAACGCAACCTAAAGAATTTCGATTGTTCATTCGAGTCGCTTTTTCTGACATTGCTGCAAAATTACTGTAGTTTTCTATCTACATCTGGAAATTGGAAAAGAGCATAAAGCTAATTGGCATCTGAGATTTTCTAGAACTATATTATGAAACAGAATTTGTACAATAACTCGGTGCTACAAAAGGATAAAAAATGATTCAGGGGTAAAAATTCTAAATGTTCATTGTATTTTGTACCTCTAAATTGCCTTGCACCAAGGTGACCTTTAAATATTTGTACCCACCGAATTATTTGCTCAAATTTTATAGATATTCAATTTTGATTTTCCCCCAAACACCAAACTAAAAACAAAACCCAAACTGCAACCCATCCTTTTCAAAAAATAAGATAGTCGGAAAAGAAAAAATAAGGTTCACTCGAGGACAGAACTTCGAGACATCGAATTGTTAGTGGAAAATAGACCCGAAAAAAGAACCAACTGTAGAAGTACAGTATACTCACCTCTGCCACTGTGATCGTTGCTGTTTCAGAAGCGATGACGATGACGTGGAGACACTTTTCGTTGTTCCTTGCCTGAATAAGAAACAACGCACTGCACCCATATAACCGTGCATATGAGACAAATTATGTGTAAAATTGGAATTGTATGAAATGATTAGATATGAAAATACACTCGAAAAATTGTGAAAAAAACTGTAACTGTGAGGTTTTAGTATTGTGAAAAACTTCTTGTGCTACCTAATTTGATTTAAAAAATGCAAAAACACCATGCATATCAAAAATCTTGCCGCGTAAATTTTTTTCAAATTTTTTAAAACTGCGAAAATATAGTGCAGCATCAGAATTATGAAAAAATGAAGTGTGAATAAGGCGGAATGAGAAAAAAAGAGGAAAAGTGTGCCAGAAGAAGAGAGAAGCGGATGTTGGATGAATTGAAAATGTGTGGAACTTACTGTCTGAGAGCAATTTTCCTTTTGTGTCGACGATAGAGCTGCACAAGGGTGATAGGATTTGAAAACGAGAGTATCAAAATGGTCAAGATCTCTACAGGTGTATAAGTCAGAACGTATACATTGAAGTTTTCTGAAATTATACCTTTTTGAGTCAATAGATCCAAACTCACCTCCACTGTTCTCAGCATAGCCGAAACTGTAATAATTCAACGATTCCAACGGTCGGATCATACAACAAGCTTGGAGAAAAAACAAAGTAACATTGGTGCTCAGAAAAAATGCCCAGCACGAAATGCTAAACGTTTTGATTCTTTGAACTGTCACCAGTACGTTGTATCGTCCGTACAAAATTATGGCAATTAGACGGTCCAAACAAATTGCTGACATATGCCTGCAAAAGATCAAGGAATGGATTTCTGACGGTCCTATTCAGAGAGAAGCAAATCAGCAGTTTGCTGCAGATGTGGCAGTGGCGATCAAAAATGTTAGAATTGTTAGGCAATTCGGTAGTCTTTCTATATTCTTTGGCGAGTCAGTGACCCTTGAAGGAACTACAATGCAGGTCGTAAATATATGAAAAAATACGTTTTTCAGTTGATTTTGGTGATATTTAAGAATCTGGAGCTTGGCTGTCAAGTGTCGGATCACTTTGAAAATCTTGGAGGTTACAAAAAAATTTAGATTGAAATCTTTGCATTTTCAAATTTTTTCGAAAAATCCTTGTTTTCCACTTATTTGTCGATTTCCGAGGAATATCTATTTTTGGCTCGTTTTTGTTCTGAAAACGTAAAAGGTGTCCTTCAGAAATTGGCAAGTAACCGAAAAACTGAGAATTTTCAAAAATATCTGTGAATGCAGAGTTTTCAATCTAGGTCTGTTTTATAACCTCCCGAATGTTCAAAGTGATCCGACACTCGACAGCCGAACTCCAGACTCCTGAAAATAGTTAACATCAACCGAAAAACACGTTTTTTCATATTTTAATGGCCGGCACTGTAGTTCTCTAGGCCAATTGCTTTTCTTTCTAGGACATTTGGCTAGTCCGTACGAGACCCTTGGAGGAAACTCTACAAGTTTTAATTTTGAGCTTGTATAAACCGCTTCAATAAAACCCACATGAAGTTTCCTGTAGGGGGTGGTACAGACTTGCCAAATAGCCTAGAACGTTTAGCGAATGGCCTAGAAATCTCCAGAAATTTATATTGCTGATTTAGCTTTGCTCCGAATAAAAAAAATTCACCAATATCCTAAAATTGATTCTCTCTAAATAACCCCATAATGGTACTTATAATTGAGCATCAGAGTTTTTATACAGAAAAAAAAACTTGTCTACTCGTCTACACATGCACCCAATTTTTCGGGTCATAAATTTTAGCCCTCAAACTCACGTCAGTGTTATCGCCCAAGCCGTCCAATCGGCAATGTTGAACAGACGGACAGCCATTTCACCAATGTGCATTTGTTTGAGCAAAATTGGCGGATAGAAATGGCACGTGGTCACAAAGCCGTGGATGACGTCAGCGATCGCCAAGTTGAGCATCAGAATGAAACTGTAACGGTGTCATTTTTCATATCATTTTTGCTTACTTGGAACCCTCAAAACCTTATTGAACGCACTTTATTTTTCTTTTCTTTCTTTTTGAACTGCAAAAATATACTAAACTTGAGCATCAATGCTTGCACATAATTGTTTTGAATTGGAACGCTTGGGTAAACACAATTTGGTGAATGGTTCTTTAGAAAAAACTTTGGAACCTTCTGAAAAAAAGTGAAGAAAATCTGGGTTGTGTAAAACACCCCCAAATCCTTTTTTCTGAGATGAGACTATCCAAGAAAAAGTTCCTATTGCGTGGGAGAATCTCGAAACTTCATCATTTTTTTTCTATTTTCAATGTTTGCTGTTCAAAACGATATCCGATTTCATCATCTCAATCTCGCACTCTTTTGACATGACATTTACTGTTGCGCGCCGTCGTGCCATCTACGTCATCATTCAAATTATTCAAAAACTTTGAACGGAAATTATACATAATTCAGAAATGACCCTCCTCCACATACCTGGCACGATGAAGGTACTTGTTGTTGAGCAGAACAATAATCAAAGCTAGATTTCCGACTATCGCACACATTCCAAGTGATTCCAAGCCGGCGAAGATGATCACATCCACAAAACTGACCCGATTCGTTGAGTTTGATGATGACATCTGGAAATTCACTGTTTTGAAAGGGATTACTCAAAACATGGGAGATCAAGATACAAAAAAAATTAAAAGACCTCAAAATAACAACCATAAAATGGAGCTTTCCAAGAATTGAAGTTAGTTGGGTAGGTGAAAAACGACATGGTGTTAAAGGGGACCAGAAATTTCCTGACCAAGACTCCTCTCCTTCTTTTGCATTAAAAATGTGACATATGAAATACGGGTTAGTACCTCAACACCTCAAGAAGGGTAGAAATAGAAAATGGGGTTTGAATTTGAAGAGCAAGAAAGAGGTTAGATGAGAAAAGAGCATTGAGGATAAGCTGAGTATTCAGAAAGACAACTGTTAGCTTTGCTCGAAAATTCAAAATATTTTTCAGAAAATAAAAAGTACAATACAGGTCAATAAGCTATCCAAAAACGTAATTTTAAGTTGATTTTGGCCATTTTGACTATATTCAGAAGTCTCGAGCTCGGCTGTCAAGTGTCGGTTCACGTTGAAAATTTTGGAGGACGTGAAACTAACCTTGATAAAAACTTTGCCTTCACAGAATTTTTTAGGAATTTCTAGGTTTTCAGATGTTTGGCGATTTCTGGACGACACCTATTTTTTCACGTTTTTAGTACAAAGACGGGTCAAAAGAGGGGTGTTCTACAGAAAACGGCAAATAACTGAAAAATGAGAAATTTTCGAAAAATCTTGTAAATGCAAAGTTTTTGATCTAGGTCTGTTTCACAGCCTCCAAAAATTCCATTGCAAGCTTGGCAGCCAAGCTCCAGACTCCTGCAAATGATCGAATCGGCGAAAAATCAACTAAAAATACGTTTTTGTATATCTTACTGACCGGTAGTGGTATTATATTATGATGAAGTAAAAAACATATCTGAGCTTTTATTAAGCACCTTTACATGGAAACCTGGACAGGTGAGAATTACCACCCGTATTTGAGACATGAATGAAAAACAAGAGTCAGAGGTCTTGAAGGCCAAGGAAACTCGAATAGACGATTATTGAGATTTCTAGTAATAGGAGAGATCCCAGTTAGAAATCAAAAAAATAGAAGAATTCGAAAAATGTAGCTCGCAGAAATTTCTTAGAATTCTGTACGAAATCCGTGTGAACAATCGTGCAAAATCTCTCAAAAAGCAGTTTTCTATTTTCAGATGGACGCTTTTCTCTTCTCTTTCAACTTCCTTTCAATAATTTGATTGCTGCTCCTATTGCACTTAATTAGAGCCGGAAAGCACGAGAAGTAGCAATTTGAGCTATTCTTTTAAAAAACTTTTGAGGCTCCTCCCGCGGCTCCTTTTTTTGCGGGATCTTTTACTCACGTGGCGTTGAGAGATAGAAGATTAGGAATGTGATTTTTAGATTTGAATCGTTCAAAACCTTTCTGTAATTCACCTGCTACGCTTAACAAAAGTTTCAGCTGGTAGTAGTATTAGTACAAAAATCAGAAATCAGGATTCTTTGAGTATGAAATCGTGCAATGAGAAGCCAAAATGTTCTGGAAGATTCCAAATTGCATCAAACAAAAGGAAAAGTTGGTCGATAGTGTTTAGGAAATGTTTTATACAAAGAGAGAAAGAGAAAGAGGAGAAAGAGGGACGCAAGGTCGGTGGTTTTTTGGAACGTAATTAGCTAATATTTCTCACTACCACCAACCAGCAACACAACTTGGCATCCTTCTCAAAACATAGGCGCCACGTCGGCTTTCTTCTACGGAGCCCAATGCCTTATTTCCTTTGTTAGACACTTTGGGAGGGAGGGGGAAGGGAACGAGCTAAAAAGTAGGCGTGGTTAGAAGCCGCACAAAAATGGGTAATTGTGATGGGTACGAAGAAAAGTGGTGGAAAGAAAAAAGATAGAGAGAAAGAAGAAAAAAGAAGCCTGAAAAGGAAAGAAACGAATTGATGGGAACTTATATGGGTTTTTCGGTTTTTTTCCTCCCAATTTTTTGTGGGCTCGTCACTTTAGAAAAAGAAAGAAGAACAACGGAAGAACAAAAATTTGCATGCAATTAGGGTTTTTCCACTGTTTTAGGTTTGATGGGAAAGGAAAAGAAGGAAAATCATCAGAACATCAAAGTGGCGAAATGGGTTGTAGAAAACCGGGAAGTCTTCTTTTTCCTCTAGAAATCCTGTAAGGCTGAGGGATTTTTTTTGTTTTCTGGACCCGGGTGATGAGAAAGCGAACAAAAATTTTTACGTAAACAATGGGCTTTGTGAGATTCTGGAGATTCTGGAAAAAAGCATTTGTACTACAAGAATACCTAATTTTCAAGATATTTTCGAAGAATGGTTTTTGAACTAACAAGAGAACCTCAACACTTTGTAACTTCAGTTTTTGAGGAAAACTTTAGGATAAATTAAAATTTGAATCTAGAAACTTCTGAGAATTTTTGAATTCACTCGCCATTTTCAGCCGAGTTATTTCAGTTTCAGTACTGAAAATCGCTTTTTCAAAGCAAAGCAGCGGTTTTCTCTACTTCTAGGAGGTTTCAGAACATGAGTCGTGTTGTGCTTCACTTAGAATTTGATGAGATTTCATTTTCCAGAAATTTTCCTACATTATATTTTCTCCAATTTTCGATAAAACTGGAAAATCGTGGAAAATTTCTAATTTTTTTGAAAAAATTTCTGAAATATTAATTTTTTCTCAATTTTGAGTATAAAAGTTGAAAAAATCATTTTTTTTTATTACAGTTTTACACTGAAATAATCAATGTTTGGTACGGAAATTGGCATAACTCGGCTGAAACTTGCTAGCGGAGTCTAAAATTTTCAGGAGTGCCTGGATAGACAATACCTGACCTATTCTGACATTTTCATTGAAGTCTGGGCTTAAGAAGCGTTGAGGTTTCCATGTTATTAGAAATATTTATAATTAGGTATTCCTTCACATTCTTATTCGCGCTCCAAACATGTTTTCGCCACGAGCGAAGCAAAAAGTTTCAGAATACGAAATGATCTAGACAATTCATTCTATAACCCTCGTGTTTGGTTCTCAATGGAATACGAAGGAAGACAAAAAACCACTGAGAGCCGTTTGATGGCAATTTCCGAAACGAAAAAACGGGGAAGAGAAGTATAAAGATTGATGGGAGGCACCGAAAAAGGAATCGAAGACAAGAAGGAAGAAACTGAAGAAGAAAGAGAAGTAGTTGAAGAAGAAGAAAAAACGAAATGAAAATGAAGACGAGGATGAAGGCGAAGTACAATGAAATTTGAGCGTTGCGCTAAATGCTCTAAACGTTTCTTTTTCCTTCCAAGACTCTGCATTTTTTTCTGGAAAATCACTGAGGTACATGATTTTTCAGAGTTGGTGGAGGGAATGCGTCACCTAAGCAAAAAGGAACAAAAACGTTAGGAACAAAGAGGCAGAAGCTAGCACTATGGTGTTCTTTCCAGTGTGTTCCGATAAGAAGATTACGTTGGATTTTTCGTTGGGAGACAAAACAAAGACTGAAAATTGTCTTTTATCACATTACAGTACTTTTTTGTGTTCTTTTTGTTGTTGTTTTGTTATTGTTGTTTTGTTATGCAACAACAAATAAAATATTATAGAAGAGTTCAGCTTGATTGCATTCGAGTTTTTTTGAACTGTTATAGTGCCAGGAAAGTTCAGAACGGTAATCGATATTCGGAAAACTCCGAAAATCCAACCGGAATTATTTCGAGAAAACCGGAATTGTTTCAAATGTGGTTTTGTGATGGGAAAATATGATTTCACTTTCAAATATGGATTTGTTTAATTCTGAAAGTTTCAAAATCGGGTTATTCTGATATTCTGATATTTGGAATTTTCGAAATTTTATCATTCCGAAAATTCAAAATTCGGATTTTTTCTAAATCGGATTATTTCGAAATTCTGAAACTCAAAAATTTTTTAAAACGGAATCCCCGATATCCCGAAATTTTGAAATCTAAATACTCCGAAATTTTCAAAATTTAATTGTTACGGTGTTCCGTAATTTCAAAAACATTGGAATGTTCCTAGTTCCAAAAATCCGAAAATCCGATTTCCGTGATTTCAAAAATTAGAATATTCCGAATTTTCAAAAATTTCAAAAACGGGATATTCCAAAGTTCCGAAGTATTGAAAATCGAAATTTTTTGAAATTCCGAAGAATTCATAAAATCCATTCGAACCTTGGTGTACAGTACTAAAAAGTATAGTTTAATAGAAAAAAAACATTTCTAGATTTCTTTTTCAGTCTAGCAAATACAGTGGGAAACTTTCTTAGACATCTTCGTTTTTCCAGTTGACCGATTTTGTCCTGAACTCATCCTTCTGGAACAATTGAAGATCCTTTCAAGTGACTTAGTTTTATTTAAAATTTATGAGACTCAAGTTTTTTTTCTGCTGCTCAATTTGAGTTTTCATAAGTTAGACTGAAGATCCAAAATGTTATTAATCCGAAAAAAAATGTGTGAAAGTGTTGTTGCAACTAGATCAAATAGTGAGGGGACAGGATATACGAGTCAAAACAATTCTCAAGTAGTTTGGCTAGCTTTGAAGAAGGTGAAAAACGAAGGGGAGAGGAGTGAATTTCAAAAATATTGAGATGTATATCAAACACAGAAGAGTAGCAGTATTTCTAGTGTGCGCAGAGCCTCTAAGAAACCTCGTGTGCGCTTACATTGTTGCCAATCGGAAGCTCAAATTGCAAAAGATACTTGAATGACGGCGAAAAACCATCAAAACCTATCCCGGCTCAAGTTCGAAATTTTTTATGTGACGTTTTTTTTTTTCTGACTAGACTATATTCATTTTTTCTCTGAATTTTTTTGCTCACATCTATCGTAAAACCTCTAATATGTACATGAAAGAGCTCCCTGGTTTCCAAATTTGAGTCAATTTATCTGGATTTCTCTCAAAGATATAAAAACGTTTTTGACTAATAAGCTGTTTATTTTGACATCACAAAAGTTTTATCAGTTGGCACATATTTGATATCTTTTGTAGGTGACGAGATAATTGATAATTTATTGATCAGAAG